ACCTAACGAAATGTTTCCTTAATACACCTGGGAGACGCGTAAGAGCGAATTACATAATTACCACGGCGTCTGGAATTTCGGTGTTCCTCGGTGTCATCATCGTTTCAGTCATCGATTTCGGCCGTGCCCGGTGGACAAGCCCGCGACACGCCCAACGGAAATCACGACGCGACGATAGCGATCGGCTTTTGTATGGAGGAACGCTAGATCCGGCGCGATAAGTGCCGATTTATGGTGTCTGTAATGGAGACGTTGAAGGCTCGGACACAAAGTTGCTAAGTGGCTTAATATTATAATCGTAGCATTATCCGATCGCGGCGATTCATTCACGGGTGTAGATCCTTATCGCGAGATCACGGTCGTCGAATCAACCGCTCCAATAATGTCACTGGCTTCTACGTGGTCGTGAATGCAGTTTTTTTCATCGCTCCTTGACCCTTTGTCCCACTGTTACTTTTTTCGCTTTCATAAATCACTCTGCTGCAGCTCAGAAATTAGAAAATCGCGATCACACGTAATTCGAGATAATTCCGTGCTAAATCCAACCGCTGAATTAAATTCCTGGAAATGGATTTACAATGACCTTTATCTTAATTGATTAAGAACACTTGTTTCTGCGTTCCTTTGCTAATTGCTCCGTTGCTTTATCTTAACGTTTCATTTCGCAGTAGTCCATGGTTTCTTTAATTAAAGTCGCCGGTGGTTTCTTTCCAAAGAATTGTAGATTTACATGAGACAGAAGAAAGCACTCTAGATTACAAAATCGTTTTCTCCGATTGGACCTCGGACAAAATCTGATAACCAGACCTTGATCGAACGGAATCCTCGGACTCTCGGTGGCTACTCGTTAATGCCGGCGAGCTTTCCTAAGCAACACACGTAATCTCCTCGCCACGCGGTCGACGGACGATTCACCTGTCCGGCAGATAAACGATCCCCGCCGTGTATCTGGGATCCATCAAAGCGGAAAGTGAAATCCACGAATCGCGCCGGCCTCTTAAGGTCAACGACTGAAAATTGCTTTCGCACACTGATTAATTAGTACTCCCGTTGGCCATCTTCGTTCCCCGCGATCGGTATACTTCCTCGCGGATCCCGAAGGCCATTAATCGCATCCTGGCGATAAAGGATGGACGGGAATTAAAATTCGGCGCCAGGGAAACAGACCGCTGATCCTTCGAACAGTGCCTTTGGTATGCGAAGGCTGTCGGCTAGCCGATATTTCTGTAGATAAACAAGAAGCTATTATCTTCCGTGAAACAGTGTTTCATCTCCAATTCCCGATTGAAATTCTCGAACGAACGGTATTTCGAAATGTCTGGTAGAACCAGGAAGTCGACGTCTCTCTATAGACTTCTATTTCCGAATGAATTTACGGAAGAAGCACCTCTTCCGAATAATTCCATTTTAAATATTAATTATTCTTCCTCAGTCTGAGAGCTTATATTTACTTCGAATATCTTTAAGTATCTTCATACTAATGCCTTCATTCTATCACTATCTACAAGAGAATTCGAAAGAAAATACATTTTATTAACAGCCCATTTATTCCAGGTTGCAGGCAGTATGCCTAAACTTCCTTGTTGTAGGTGGAAGCCCTACGAGTCACCTTTCGCGCGAATTAAAAGCTTCTCGACGCATGCCAATCATTTTCAATGAGTAATGCATCCAGTACTCGATCAAACTAGTTCCCAGAGTATTCGACGTGTTGGAAAAAAACACCCCCGACCACTCCTCCGTCATGTTGCTCTCATTCCGCGATTCAGAGCGGCGTCGTGCATGATTAGCCCTGCGATCGACGCGGCGTTCCGCTCGATTCGATCGTCCCGCAACCCTGAAGTTCCTCCGTTGCGTGCACGTGCACAACGGCCGGTGGCGAAACGCATTTCCACGGCTTCTAAATTGTAGGTTCGCGCGAACGATCGCGCGCCAAGATCAAAAGACGTCGGTCGCGGTTCCGCGAGGCGTGCGCGCGCCGTTGTCACGGCGAATGATCGATAATGAGCGCGGTCCGAGACGACGCGTTTCAATGCTGCGCCGCAGATACCGCGTTGCACGTTGCGAACGCATGTCGATCGACGATCGATATCTATCCCGACGATCGCGAGACGTCTCTGAAAGCCGCTGCTCCTCCTTGTTCCCTCCTCCCTCCCACTTTCTCGATTTTTTTCCCCTTCGTTTTTGACCTTTCGGAAACGAATCGCTTTCTGTCCGGCAACCCGGGTTTCACTGCCGAAACTGTACAAGGTGAACACAGTACATAAATCAGGATAATTTCCTCTCGCTGAAATTGTTCGCGCCGATGATTGTGTACAGGGCGATGCAAAATAAGTGGCGTTCACAAGTATAGAAACGCTGGATTGCAGATCGAAACGAGGTAGTTTCTTAGAGAACTCTCTGATGCATCGTCGTGTTCTATCAGAAAAATTTTAGACATACAGGATATTCAAGAAATCGTGGTCCTACTAATGAGAATTCAGTACAGCAATTTCCAACAGCGAACGCGTCGGGAACTCCGAGCGCAATTAACAGAGGGAATCGTCGGACCGTTCGAAGACTTAGAAAGTCAAATTGCGTTAGCGTCCTTGATTCGAGCGCCTTCCACGGTCCGCCAAATAACGAAATCGAAGGGAAATTGAAATCAGCCGAACGATATCGCTTTCAGTTTTCCCGAAACAAAAGGAGGACAGCGGTCCGAGCCATCGTTGAATTTTCTAGCTAGGAATTCCATTTACGAGACACCGATTTTAGCCCGCTCTGTACAGAATTCGTGAATCTGGATTGCCGATCAAAGTCCTCCTCCTATGCTCGCGTTCGCAGAGGCTTTAAATATTATAAAGTCATCGTTTACGCTCGGCTCCGTTCCTGGTCGTAAATTTCTCGGTTAAAGCCGGACCGGCGGGCCGGGGAGGGGCCCGACCGTTTAAAAATTATCAGCGTGCCGGGCCACCGCTCCTACGCGGCCCCGAACCGCCTCGACAACGGCTAAGGTCGTAAACGATAGGAGGAATTATGAAACGGGAATGTGAGAAACGGCCTACAGGTGGCTGCCTCGGTTGCCCGGCTCCTCGAGATTCTGCCTGGAACTATGGTCACCGTTTCCACGTGCTGGACAGACGTACAGTCCGCTTTTATTGCACTACGCCCACTCGTGTAGCTGCATGGCACAGCCTGTCCGGTACTTTTCCTTCCACATCACGGCCAGGAATCCTGGCCGAGAGACCGGTGTTTAAGAGTTTAGGCTCTGCTGCAGGCGAAATCGAACCATTATACTTGCCGTGACAGCCAGAAGCATAGGTCTCGATGATATTTTCTGTCAGGCCGGAGTCGGTTCCGTTTAATCCCGGTTTGCGCTTGATGAGGTAGAACTACAGTTACGGCTATTATTGCTTGGTAGCTCGTAGAGGTACGGTTTCAACTGTCTGCGCCGTAATTGGACGTGATTCGATTTAAATATTTGATAAGCGTCGATGAATAAAGATCTCGATGGCTGTTTAACGCGAATTCTACCATTTTGGTAATTAGAATTGCCTTAATGCCTTTTTTTGAGACGTTGAGTCAGGCTCGGCGACCTCAAGATACACTTAATAAATATAAATCTTAATCGCTTCCTTGTTGTTAAAAGGGAATAGCGTTGCTCTGTTAACATATGATATTTAGAGGTATTGATTTACGTTGGACGTTGATTTATATCGTCTTCCCTTCTTCCGGCGAATCATTAAGGATACATTAGCTCCGGAGTTCGAAGTAGGAAATGTGGTGCTAATTTCGAATTTCTTTGTTGGCGTCTCTACTCCGAACGCGATTTGCGTTCCCCTGCTCGAATTCCATATTTTCAGTGGATATCTGGGAACAATGTCGTCCTTCGTTTCCCAACTGGTTACGACTGCTCGTTTTTGCATTACATAAACCGTGGATGGGTGTCAGGCTTATTAAGTATTCGCAGTGAACGGTGTTACGGTGCACGCAGTCGGCGCGTTTGCCCGTGAACCTAAAGCTGTTCGCCGCCTTTAAACCAGAACAGCGCCGATTATTGCGGCAGTTCCCGATCCCGCGAATCGCTCGAGCGTTGAACCGCGTTTCCGCGGCTCCCGAAACGAAACAGCCTCGCATCGTGTAATTATCGGCGAAACGATAGGCCCAGAGACCCCGGTCTCAGTTCCTGTGTTAGATAATGTGTATCTGTGAAATTTTAGCCTCGAACTTTCTCAAATTTTATGAAGATTTTATGTAACGGGGATTCGAATTATTGTCCGATCGCTGGGAAAACAGACGGAAGAAACTTTTACCCTTCCGCGTTCCCTTTCCTGCACGATCGGAATGTTAAAATTGTCTTGACGCCCTTGTTTGTACACCCCGATACACGGGTCATGCGCGTTCGCTTCTTTTTGCTCGACGCTTCGCTCTAAACGTGGGATCCGCTGATGGATCGTGAAAGTCCAACAACTCCATCCAACGTTTTGTAATCACCGTTCAATCTGTCTACGGAATCGAGGCTTCCCGATGGCGGAAGGAACGACGAATAGAAAGCGAGACACTGGCAGAGAAAGATGCGCGCCGCGGTTACGCGATGCAACCAGTTCTGCCGGCTGCTCGACCGCGTGTCTATCGAGGGATGAGGTGAAATACGAGATGCCGTTCCGACCGACGACTCAACGAAACCAAGTTTGGCTGGGTTGAACGCGTTGAGCGCCGATGACGTGTTTTAACGTCACTCGAAGTTCGTCGCATTCCGCGAGAGATCCTGACGAGAATTTTATAAGACCTCGCCTATTGGAAGTTCGTTTTCAATTGAGAGATTCAGAACATCGATATAAAATAATGATACACATTGGTCCATATGGATCACTCATCTGTGCGAAAATGAATACCGTCAAACTAGGTTCAACCAAATATCATCAGTCGAACCGGCGTCAATTTCGATCCAACTAATCCGAAAATAACCGCCGACAATTCGAATCGCCCCGGCAAAGTCAAAGAACCATCATCGATAAACTTACGTCTCGATCGAAATCCTCGTTCCCATCGTTGGAGGCCTCTTCCACGTTGATCCGGATTCCCGACATGTTCCGGGGTGTTTCAATCATTCCAAAGCACTCGAAATCAATCGTCGCACACCCCTCGAGCCTCACCCCGAAGCTCGGCCTCCTAGGTCTCTAAAGAAACTCTCGCACCTAGGAGCGTCACTGTTCGATCCCCTAGAACCACCACTCCCTCAACCTCTCCGGGCTAGTGGTCCCCTCACGTATTCCACAAGAAACCCACACGATCACCCCCGAATTGTGCTTCGTGCGACTATTCTGGAGGACAGTGTTCAATGAAGATCCCAAGGAGCGCCGGGAAGGGTCCAGGGCAGAGGTCTGCCTCGACGCGTCGTCCTTTCCCTAAGCTTGTAGAGCAGGACCGGTGTCGCGTCCCGCCTGTTTCCCGCCTCCCTCTGGTCGCCGGTTCGAAAACCCCCGGAAAATTCGCGCACGAACTCACTCGCCGGGTGATCGTATTGAAAAACCATAAAGCGCTGTTCTCGTCGTACGTGTTCTTTGCGCTGCGGTCTCGTTTACTGTTAGGAGGATGCGTCGGTACGCGGGAGTACCGCGGCGTGTGATCGTGTGGATCGCCTCTCTCGCACGCGTGCGACTAGAGCCACCGCCACATCTGGCCTTTGGACTGGCTGCCAGCACACCGTCAGATCGGCTTTATACCCTCGGTGTCTCCCACCCTGGGTGACGAGCGAGCGAGCGCGCTCACGGCACGTCGATCCCGCACGCGGCGGGCCGCCTCGCCGCACCACGGCCGAGAGAGGATCGATCTTTTTCTTTTAGTTTTCAGTCGTTGTTCACTTCGTTCCTCCTTTTTTCGAGCCTCTCTTCTCTTCCTACCCGGTGCGCGTACGCGTACGCGGATTCGCCGGGAAGGGAGTCGCGGCCCGAGGACTCTAGCGCAAGGACGCTGCGCAGGGAACGAGGAAAGGGACCGGCGCACAGCCCTATCCGGTCCAGTTCCAGGCCGCCCGCGATCCGGCTCTTTCGGCCACTCCGACGCACGGCTTATCTTACTCGTTTTTCTCGCTCGCTTGTACCTGAATCGAGGAAATCCCCAACGACTTGTCCCCGCGACACCTTCTTATCTCGATCGTAACTTCCATCTGCAGCTTTGCCGATTCTTCAACGCTCTCGCGACTCGATCATCGTGTACTTGAGACACTTATCGATGTGAAACGTTCTCTAAACGAAAGGTTTGATATAGATGTAGTTTGTTGGAGATTTGGATGAGTTTACTGTGCGAAATCTTGTTGTTTTTTGGATTCACATCGAGGACCTGTACTTTCGAAGTATTTGGTAGATAGTTTCTTTGTGTATTACAGTTCACGGTTATTTTAGCTGGATGCGTTGAGCAGCAACGTGACTTCATTCATCTAGATGTCTAGATTCCTTTATTTTCCGTTGGCTACTGTGCCAAGTTCGTTCTAGGGTTAGTTTTTTCACATGGGGTCCGGACTGACGTCGGATCCTCCGGGCTGCAAACCTGTTCCCCGTTTCCGGCCCAGGTATGCGTCGGTACGGAGGTAGGAGGGTCCCGGACTTGCGGTCCTTCCTGTTATTTTGCTCGTGCCTCCGGTCTGTTTGATTTATTTGCAGGAACGAGCGAAAGAGGGGTGGCGAACGTGCGTGCACGCCAGCTTCTGCGAACGATTCCGCGTCGATCCTTTGTTCACCCTCAGACGCTGACGTGATCGCGAAGATATACGGGGTGTTTTTTCTCGGGGTAATTTAAAAAGCCGGGATAGCAAAAAATCGGATACATTAACGTCACCGTATGACGCTAATTCTCGGTAGCAGAGGATTACGAGGGATTACGCGGCGAGGCTCGCGTTAACTGTTGCTCAACCTATATGGATCCCGAGTCTATTACCCGAAGGATCATTTATAAGTGATCAGTCCCACGCAGAAGGAAATTATCATATCAATTGAAGAAAATTCTATGATTATATTAATCTATCGCATTTCTTTAATCCTCTCTTTCTCATCTTGGAGCCCGCCGTTCCGAGGGGTCGATTATAAATGAAGTCGTCTTCGCCGTGAAGAATGGCCGCATCGAAAGAGGAAAATCCGAATTTCACACCGATCAGTCGTATTGCCCAAAACCTCCGTTTTACACACAATAAAGTATCCTTTCTCCCATTAAAATCTCAAGGATCAGCGAACACCCGACGCTCGAATCCACCCTAATTACCCGGTTACGCTGATACGAGATCGAGATTACTGTCAACGAGCATCGAGCACCGGCGCTCGTTTCATAACGCCGTGACGCAGCCGCGCGTGGATCGCGTGGGAGACAGATTCCCTCGTAGGTAATCCTGTATCACGATAACGTTCCATTACGACAGGATTCACGACTCGAAAATCCGGGTCACGAAGCGCGGATGATCGCGTGCTGCCTCGATACACGGGAACTGGATTCACGTCTTAATAGCACACGACGCGAGTCCGCGGACCTGCGTCTAACGTACAAAACATGCCCGCGTCCCTCGATTCATCCGGCAGGAATGCCACGCCGCCGACGAAACGATCCATGGAAACTACCATCGAGTGAAACGCGATCATTCCGCTGCGTCATCGCGAAAGAACCGCTGAAAATCACGAAACAACGGAGCGCATCACGAGGAAACCGTGCGCTTTGCGTAATGTTTGTCGATTCGGTGGGACTAGTCCGGCGACCTTGGGGCCCGGCAGCCTCCGAGCTGCTCACTGGCTGCTGCGGGGCCCATCCCCCACTCCCGTCCCGGTAAACCCTCGAACTTCAATCGTTTCTCGGAAGAATCGCGCGTCAGGTGGATCTGGCGTCTGACTCACGCGGGACGATTTTCCGCGGAACGAGTGGAGGACAAGCGGTCTCGTTCGAGACTCGCGAATGGAATTAGATCGGACCGCCTCTCGCGATTAAATATTCCGATCAGGGAGCCATCGGACACGAGTCGAGCTGTTTCCGGCAAGGACTGGTCGCAGCTTCCGTTCCAAGGCAGGTTGCGAGGCCGTGCTTCTAACGATCTCGATCATTGAAACTAAGTACCTACGGTCGTTTAGCCAAGGCGATTTTGTTGCCTGGCGGTACTGCCGATTTGAGGTCGGTTCGTATTTATTTGGTTGTGGAATTTTTATAGTTTAAATAATAATCTTCTGTACTTCTATTGTCCATTTAGATATGGAGTGACAGCGTGTACATCGATCAATTTAGGTAGAATATTGGTAATAGATCAATTCGAGTAACTCCACGTTTCGAATGTCCTCAAATTTGAATATTAGAATAATTCATATATGATCTATAATGTTTCATCGAAATTATCAACTGTTCGATTCACAGAGTCAATCTGGCGAATGCAGTTTAGAATTTTCTGACATTTTAATGTTAAAACATTTCATTGGTTTCTAATCTATAGTACTTCATCGAATTGTTCTGCTTTTCGTTTTATTAAGGTAATCAATTTGGTAAATAACCGACTCATTATTTTCTATGGGAATGTTTTGTCTGAGCAGAATCGTGCCGCGTCTGACCCGGTAATGTAAATTAACCTTTATCCGGTGGATCGATCGCGGACGCTTCCCATGAAATTCGCGATCGAAGCGGCGCGTGCCTTGGCCGTTGGTTGCGGATCGGATCGTAGCTAAGTACTCGCCGCGGTTGCTCGACGGCTGGTTCTCACTGTGACCTTCCGCCGTGGTCGATTCTGCGTGGATTGTTCATAATAAAGAGAAAGGCGTACCGCCGGTATTATTGAGTAATCGCGGAGGCAAGGCTGCGGGAATCGCGGGCATAAAGATAATCGGTTAATCAGAGAGTTTACGCGTTACTTAACCCTTTATAGTTCGCTGGTGCGCGCGGCGTGTGTGCCAGTTATGTCGTGGCGACCTGTACCGTGTTCAAAACGTTCTCGATTTTCTTGTTCTTTAATTGGAATATGAATATTTTTAACTGTCCACGCGACATTTGGAGATGCCGGAAGAAATTCGTAGGGGTTGAAAAAGGTCGATTAGCCCTCAACCCCTTGTCTTACGATTTAATTTCGTAGGTGCATTTGCTAGAACTATTTATCGTTAATAATGCACTAGTCAAAGAAAACGTTCCATACTTTCTATGTCTAGATTTAGTATGAACCATAAAAATTGCTAACAAGAACAATAATGTTTCAATCGTTGATACAATTGTTCTATTATAAAATTAGTTTCCATCGGAACCTTTGTTAATGAAGGGTTAATGAAGGAAGATAAAAAGTTATAATCGTCTACATTTCCTTTCTATTTTAATCCATCGATACTACTGTTACTTATCAGTGAAGTATAATGATTTAAATCCAAGCGAATTACGCATCTTCCGTCGTTTTATATGCGCAATACAAAGAAATTGTGGAAAATTTTCCCGTGACTGTCACCCGCTCATCGGAAGACGCGAGGTTTGAGGAAAAGACATGTTTTTCTGGGAATCCCGGCGCAGACTGTTTCCTGTGCGATTTACCCGATAAATATTCGACGGCGTAGTGGATCGCGTGCTGAAAAACAACCGCGATTCCGTGCAATCGCGACGCGCAGCGGCCCGATCGGCCTCCGATTCCCAGCGATTCTTCTCTCCCCTTTCCATCGTTTCAGCGCGTCTCGTAAATTTATATCGTGCCAGACGGAGTGTAATTCCACCCGTGTCAACGTGAAACGTAATTAAAGTTATTAGCCGTGTTACGCAATTTATGATTAATCGCTGTGCACCCATCAGTAACGTTGCCCTGCACCGGGACCGTTAACGGTCGCGTTTTCGAACCTTTTTTCCAGGAGCACCGCGCTCGCTTGACCTTTCGGTCCTAACGGACCTCGTCTTTTCGCCCGCGAGCAATCGGCCAGTTTCCTGTGAGCGAACCTGTGAAATTACAGCTTAAATTCTAGATAAAGATCGGCGTGTCATTTCAAAAGCGCGTTGCAAATAATTTATATGTTTCTTTCAATGGCGAAACGAGGATTCGTTCAGATAGCCGTTTCGGAACGATGATGAACGATTACATGTTTGCAATTGCATTAACCGTGCGCAGGATAATTCCGAAATTAAACGGCATTTAATAGCTTGAACGGAACGAATGGAAATTCGCGTTGCGCATGAAAAAATCGTATCGAATGGAAAGTCGGGCCCCGCTCAGCCATGCAACAATGACGTCTGAGAGAGTGAAACCGCGGATCGTCGGACTCCACGCGAACGTGTGAGAAATTTGATTTTGTTGTATCAAACCATTACAATAACAACGATGTAATGATTAGGTGTGCGCGGGTTGCGTACACTTTGCTTCCTCGTTCCCCGGGTGTAAACACAAGTACGCAAAACTTTCCCTGGATCCGAATCATGAATGAAACTTTCTCGAACTACCCATGAGAAGTCTCGCTTGAACCTTTTGCAGGTTCGTTTCCTTCTTCGCGTCGAATATTTCCCGAATAAACGCGTAATGAGAATCAGTCCGTTTAAACTGCATTATGCACTGAATAAGCAGCATGAGTCAGTTCGACCAGCGTAACTTTTAACGCCTTTTAACGCCATTTAACGCCTCCAATGCCCGGTTTACCATTTTTACAATCATTGCCGCCTTCTGACTGTAACCATCTTCCGCGGTGGAATCCCGGAGA